TGGTAAGTACATTACTAACTCTAAAAAGGTCTATAAAATAGAATAAAGTGCCAAACATCCAACATCAACCACCTTTGACATGGAAACCGACGCGCGCACGCATTGTAATTTCTGATAATTTTAGGTTGCCTTTTAACTATTTTGGTAAACCTAATCCATCACATCATATCCCACCAGCTTCTGCCTAATAACAGTGCCTCACCATCTTCATATGCCTAGCTTTGTCACGTTATAATCTGGAAAACAACTCAACAGCTCGCTCTTTTTTGAGAGTAATTCATTTATAACATCTTCCTAACTCTTATCCTACATACTCATTACTGCTTAATATAAGATTTAATTAATAAGGTGATTTTAATTCTAAAAATAAGATATATTTTTTATATTTATTAAGTTTTTTGAATTACTCCTATTGATATTCTTTTGACCGTAATTAAGTAGGAGAGGGAAGAAGAATATTAACGAGGATGATTATGATATTTAAAAAAAATATTATATTTTTTTAATTAACTAATTCACCTAACTTTCTTAATGTAATAAAATTGGTTAAATAAGTCATACATTAAAGACGGAAGAATATAAGATCTAGTTTGTAATGCAATTTGTATTATAAACAAGATCGCTTCTTTTATTACAAGAATTTTTTTTGGCCAAAAGATCTTTTATTACAAGAATCACCAACACATTTTATAATATAAGATGTTTTCCCTACAATATTAATTTTTTTTCCACCTCATAGTCTTAACTAATTATTAAACTTTATAATTAATTAAATTCCTCTAACACGCTTACAATAAAAAATGAATGGAATATTTCATAATGAGGCGTATCCTGAACATAACTCTATCTTCCACTATTCTTATCTAAACATGAATTAATTATAAAAACGCAATTTTTTAAACTCAGCTGACAAATTTTTTCCCCAAATAATTCACTTAAAATTTTTTTCATGATAGGATATCATTTGATGATGATATCCAACATTTTTGTTTAACCACAAGCGCATCGCTAATTAGTCAGCATCATCAGATATATTTTCTCTGGGTTAAAACATGTTTTTCTCACACATTATGTGGAGTTTAAAAATACATAAATTATTGGTTATATGACTTATAAATTCTATGCTCAATTATTTTATCTATTCGTGGATAATCTGTGTATATTAGATTTTGGATACCATAAACAGTATTGAAACTAAACAAATATTTGTAGCAAAGTAATTTTTTTTTTTTTTTGAATTTTAATTGAATTCGCAGCTGTCTATGGAGATGGGTTCGTGGCGGAGAATATAGGGCTGGTGAACTCAGCCGGGTTAAAAGCAAGCGCCGCCGTCACCGTCCGGAACGAAGCCAACCACAGCATCTTCTTCCAATGCTCCATCGAAGGCTTGCAAGACACACTCTGGGCCGTCTCCGGCCGTCAGTTCTACAAGAACTGCGACATCTACGGCACCGTCGACTTCATCTACGGCGACGCCGCCCCTCTTTGAGGACTGCAACCTCTACGCTCGTTACCGGCCTTACGTCACCTTCACCGCCCAGTCACGTGAAAGTCCCGACGAGGACACTGCCTTCGCCTTCCAGCACTGCCAGTTCACGATGGCCCCGGAGGACGCCGCCATGAAGTCAAAGGTCCGTGCGACGTTGGGAAGGCCGTGGCGGCCGTATTCTACGGTGGCTGTAATTGACTCGTTCATTGACTCAATGGTGGACCCCGCGGGTTGGGAAGAGATGCAAGGTCAGCCCACCGATAAGGTGACGTATGTGGAGTTTAATAATTATGGGCCTGGGTCCAATACTTCTGGGAGAGTGAACTGGCCCGGTGTCAGGGTCCTTAGTGGCCCAGATGAGGCCCAACGTTTCACAGCTTCTATTCTATTAGATGCTGATTCTTGGATCCCCCACAAGGGGGTTCCTTATAATTCATAATGATTCAATTAGGGGGTTCTTTGGGCCACTTGGCCCAATAATCCGAGTTCGGCCCAATTATTAAAACCCCCCGGTGAGCAAGTTTCCTTTTATACCCTAAGCCTTAAATCTTTGAACTTAATTTACATTTGACAGCAGAATTATATGTGGTGTCATGTTTTATTTCAGTTCTCTACAAGTGTATTAAAGAATTTTATTGTTTTGTGATCTTGCCTACAGATTTATCAGCAAAGAGAATAACCTCAGTTCATATTCTTTTTTTCCATTATTTTTTCAAGCGTTACCATGCGTTACCTCATCTAAGTGAGGAGAAACAGTGAGTTGCTCTATTTGCCATGTTTGGATGATATTCTAAATTTAAGCTTGGCGTTGTGTGCGTTTACATTAATAAAATAAAAAAATAGAGAAGGAAGAATTATAAGTGATTGAAGAAGCTTATGATTATCTTTCTGCTACAAATGTTAAAGAAAAGGAAAAATCTTAAAAAATGACTGTTAAATTTTAAAATTTCAAACGAGAAATTACTATAAAAATGTGTTATTATGTGTTTTTTAAGTATATCTATTTTCTTTACGAGTATAATAATAAACACTAATTGAAATTTTAAAATTTAATAGTCATTTTTTAAGATGTTTTTAAAAAATAAAAAAAAGAAAAAAATGGTTTCAGTGCTTAGTAACGAACAATTATATGAAAAGATAAATGCAAAGGGAAACTAGAGTTATAAAATTCAAGAGCAATCCTAAAATTCAGTGCTAAATTTTCAAGTGATAGTTTTTTTTTTTTTTGCTTTATTTATTAGGTCAGCAATCCTAAGACCAAGATTCTTACAACTTAGAAATAAATAATTTAATAAATAAAAGGTGATTATTTTATCTCTTTCATACTTCTTTTTCGGCTTTTTTACCGAAATACGATAAACAGTAAAAGTTTTTACCAAGATACTGCACTTTTAAAACTATTTACCAATATACTACACTTAAAATCGTTTTGGCAAGAACGATTTTCAAATTACATACAAGTCGTTCTTGGCGTGAACGATTTCACTTTTTTTTTTATTTTAAATGAAAAAGTGAAATTGTTCTTGGCATGAACGATTTCAAAAATCGTTCACCCTGCGTCTGAATTGCTGCCAATTAATTCTCGTTCAACATGCCCTAGTTGTGTTGATTATCGAGATAGGGTTGCTCGCGACCAGCGTAACATTTTACTTGTACTTAGAGAACAACGTTTTAATGTAAACCCTCAGCCTGCTCCACCAACAACTGAGTTGCCTCGGCCACAAATTCCTCGTGATAGACCAAGCAAGCGACGAGGTGGTTACTTGTCTACCCAACCTATAATTGAAAACGAAAATGCAAGGGAACAGGAACCTTCAATTTTTACTCAGGCTTCTGACATATCACCGTCACCATCATCCCCCTTCATCTCTATCGATCCTACACAACTTGAGTCTCATTACATGGCACCCTCATCATCATCCCCTTCCAACTCAGCCAATCCTTCTCAATTTCAACCATTCATGACTTTATTAGATAATCCTGCATTATTTTCAGCTGAATACAATGCTTCTACTTTTGAACATGGTGGACCATCAAATGAAGCATTTGTCACTCCTCGACAATCTATACATTTAAATGAATCACCCTGGTTTGATTTGAACACGCCAACTACACAAACAAATGAGACATTTGAAGCTCAAGAAATTGACATATAACAATAACGCCCACAACGTATGAGAAGAAGGCTAAGATGTGATACTGGAAGTCACTATCAGTAAGGTGGATAATTTTTTCTTTATAAACTTAAACTTTATTTATTACTTTTTATTTTTAATCTTATACTTATTTCACAATTAGTTTTAACATCATTATAACATTTTTCTCTCATTATATAGTCATGATTTTGTCAGTCAAATGATTGATAAATCATTATACTAATCATTTTAATCAGGAGGGAAGGGGAGAAGTCATTCAACAGCAGATGAAGTTTTGAAATTGTTCACCAGAAGAACGATTTTCATTCACCTCATGCACATCAAGGATAGATTATGAAGAAGTCGTTCACCAGATAAATGACTTTAAAAATTATTCACCTGAAGACCGATTTTAAGTGTAATATATTAGTAAATACTTTTAAAAGTACAGCATATTGATGTATAATTTTACAATTTGTAGTATTTTGGTAAAAAAGCCTGTCGTGTGGTATTTGTTCGGTTTGACAAGAAATCAAGTATTGGGCATGGGCCTTTTATGCCTGTAATAATAATTTAGTCTTACAACTTAATTGCTACAATTAAAAATTTACAATCAAAACATAACTTTTTTTGTTACGTACTGTTTGGTATGAGATAGATAAAAAGAAGAGGAAATGATAGAAAATTTCATCAAGCTCTATTTGAAAAAAAATTTAAAAAAAACTGAGGTTTTCAAATTTTAATCCAATATAAGTAAGATGAAGTAAAATTTACTATATATGTTATAGCCTTACCGGAGCATCGTCAGGGATTCTTATTTTTGCATGCAAGAGTGAAATCGTTCTTGGCGCGAACGATTTCAGAAATCGTTCACGCCAAGAACGATTTCACTTTTTGATTTAAGAAAAAATTTAAAAGTGAAATCGTTCACGCCAAAAACGATTTCTGAAATCGTTCACGTAAAGAACGATTTGTGTGTAATTTCAAAATCGTTCTTGCCAAGAATGATTTTAAGTGTAGCATATTGGTAAATAATTTTAAAAGTGTAGCATTTCGGTAAAAAGTTTTACTGTTTATCGTATTTTAATAAAAAAGCCTTCTTTTTCTTATAAATGATGTGTACATGCAAATTGCGGACGTAACATTTTTTTTTAATGGATTAACTTTTTTTTTGATAAAACCTTTATGATATTAAACCAAAAAAAAAAAAAGAAGCTTTTTAATAAAACCGGAATCAACTTTTCAGCAGCACATTGACAATAAGTCAAGCCTTCTTGGCTCGGTTTCTTCGGAAAGCACTCATTTCTATCCTTAATCTTTTTATATCCTGTAAAGCACACCACAAATCACTTTCACTTCGTCTTCTTCACGCTTTACTCTATATTCGCACTCCCATGGCTCCAGACTCCGTCTCTGATCTTCTCTGCGAAATTCTCTTCTTTTCTTCTTTCTTCTTTTGTTTTGTGGCCACCGAACTTCTCTGCATCGAGTATCCATTTTTCGCTGCTCTGTTTTTCCAACACGAAGAAGATGATCATCATCAGCATGCCCCACTCATTGTTTCTGAATATCCTCAACGCTCCAGGTTGCCCAAGTTCATCAATCCCTCCTTCATCATTTCTCTACTCACAAACAATTCCTCTTCCCTCCTTTTACCACCACCACCACGACCACCACCACCACCACCATCATCTTCTTCTTCTTCTTCTGCTTCTTCTCCTTGGCCTAACCCAGAAACTAAGCATGCGAAGTCTGCAATTAAAATTGAGGAACCTTTGGAAGTCATCTGTGAAATCTGTGCAGAAACTAAAAGACCTAATCAGATGATCAAGAACCAGACATGCCGCCATTCTTATTGCTCTGATTGTATGACAAAACATGTGGCCACGAAAGTCCAAGACACCATAACAGCAGTTCCATGTCCTGGGCTGGGTTGTAAGAGTGTTTATGAGCTTGAAGCTTGTCGGCCTTGGATTCCCAAGGACTTACTAGAAAGATGGGATAAGGCTCTGTGTGAGGCTCTTTTTCTGCAAGTGCCTAAATTTTATTGCCCCTTTAAGGATTGTTCAGCCATGATGCTGGTTGAGAATGAGATGGATCAAACAGCTGCAAGGGAAACAGAGTGCCCTATTTGCCATAGATTGTTCTGTCCAAGGTGTAATGTCCCATGGCATCATGGAGTTGACTGTGAGGAATACCAGGGACTGAATGAGAATGAGAGACAGAGGGAAGATCTGCTTGTGAGACAGCTTGTTAAAGATAAGAAATGGGGAAGGTGTCCCAAGTGTAAGTTCTATGTGGAGAAGACTCAGGGATGCTTGCACATCACTTGCAGGTCAGTTTTCTATAGGTGTTTGTAGCCTGATAAATGAAGTGTGGTTTATAAGTTTAAAAAGCTATCTCACCTGATAAGTTAGTTTTTTTAGGATAAGTTCTCTTTTTAGAACAGGATTAAAATCAAATCGTGTTCTTGTTATGCTCTTAATTGGTGGAGAAGAAACAAGTAGGGAAACAAATGTTTAATTTCATTAAATGATTGATGATTGATTCGTGATTGCAGGTGCAAATATGAGTTTTGTTACAAGTGTGGAAAAGAATGGAATTCTTCTCATGGAGGCTGCCAAAGATATTAGATTATTTAATGCTAAGGTTTGATGAAGAGCATATCATTTTCACCTGTCACTTGTCATTTTCTTTGACATGTTTCTTTGAATTACAAGAAAAAAAATGAAGACAAGACACTGATGTGTCTGGTTTGAGTTTGATATTTGGAAGAAAATTCTACTGCATTGCCTTTTAAAATATATTTGTTTATCATATTATTCACTTATGGAGGATCGTTTCTCTCTTAGCTGTTTGTCTTCTTTTGGAGCCTAGGCGTTCCTTTTCAACCGTCTTTGTCAGACACAAAAATTACGTAGTTCAAATTCAAATTACCTGAAAATTAAGATTCATATCTATGGTCAATGAAGCTTTTCACTCCGTGACTGTAAAATCTGTTTAGCTAATTAGATATTATGCCTCCCATTCCTCATAAGATCTAATTAAGAAATTGATTTTGATTCTAAACATAAGATTTTATTTCATTTTATTTCTCATATTTTTTAATTTTTTTAAACTGATTTGTCTAACTTTTGCTAATATATAATCTAATGTTACATTAAAGTTTTTTTAAAATAAAATTATGATAATTTTGTTAGAATTAAGTACTTTATTAGATTGTTTTAAGCTTTCTAAATTAATTAGATAATTTTTACATTAAGGACAGAATGAGTACTATAGTGAGTAAAATAGTATGATTAGGTTAGACACTCAATAAGGGAATATGGCCAAAGGCCACTCCTTTACTCTAACTTTTTTTTTTTATGAGAAAAAAATACAAATGTTCACATAAGATGAAAATCAGCGAACATACTACAAAGAGTAAGACAATCCTGAAGAACACCTCTAAAACCAATATCTATAGTGATAGCACCATGGAGAACCCTCCAAAAACCATTTTCCTTAACCCAAAGGTAAAGTGGAAAAGACAAAGGATTAAGAACTTGACTTTGGTGACATATCAAAAGTAACACCCTGCGCAAAAGATTTACTCTAACTATTAAGTATCATTTATCAAGGTCTTTTGGCCTACGGACATGTTATCTATTTTCCAATGATACTAGGATTTGAAAGAGGCGTCCTTGCCAAGAGCCTCTTGGTATACCTCCCTTTATAGAGTAGATTGTGGTGGGTTCTATATCCATAATGACCAAAGTAGATGGGGATGTATGTCCTCTTTCTCGTGGGTAAAGGGAGTTTAAATTGTTAAAGTGAATAAGAAAAGAGTGTCCCTAGTTAGTACAATTTCTGATCTTTAATATAAAAATTATTTGAGTAGATTAAGAAAATTAGTTAAATTAGTTATTTATAATAAATAGGTGTTATCTTTCCTAAAATATCCTTACTAATCATGTTTATTAGCTAGAATTATGATTCGATGAAACATTTAACATGTACATACTACCACAAGGACTATCTTACAAAAATAGAAAAATATGAGAGATAAAGTAAATTGGAATATTATATTTAAGATCAAATTAAATGTCAAACTAACTCTTATATTAATGATTAGAGGTAGTATAACTTCTTTGGGGAGTATTCACATAAACTTCAAAATTCTAGCAGCATTGACCTACTTTTTTCCCCTTAGAGTGAGAGTCAGCAGTTCTAAAATTAAGTAATCTATTTGTAAAATCTTGAAATTAGATAATACAATTTCACATCAATATATAACACAAAATCCATAGAAAGCCATAGCTTGAGCTATCCATAATTCACTAAAGGAAAAAACTTATGTCAAGTTTCTTATATCTATTATATTAAGTTCTCCAATCATACATGACCATGTGTTCTTTTTTTGTTAATTAAGTGCTAATATTTCAAAAATATGATACATGGTCATATGTCAGTGGAAAACTGACGTAATGTTTATAAAGAATTTGATGTAAGTATTATCTTTCATTGAATATATAGTGTAACATCCTGGTTTTTAATCAAGGATTTAGGAATAATACAGTTTGATTGTAATATGATCTTAAGATGTGTTAATGGCCATTTGAGGTGGGTAGGGTAAAAGAGGGTTAGCTAGAGGTTTTTTTAAGGTAGTTTTGTGGGACCTCTCAGTGTATTTCGCCACGGTGAGCAACATCAAAGAGGAAAGGATGCTCTCTGTGTTTTTCACCATGGCAAACATAGCAAACATCATAAAGGAGCTTGATCGCTTCTGTGTAGTTTACCGTGGCAAACGGTTGAGCTTGCCACAACGAACATGTAACATCCTAAATATTATTTAGAAAAATTAAAAACAATTATAAAAAATTATTAATTAAATTAATCTATTAAAAAAAAAACCCCAACTTTTCTATGGGATTCGGTGGAAAAGGTGGCGGTATTTATGAGCAAGGAAGAAATAAGAGAGGGGTGGTTGAAGAAGGGAGGTAAGGTAATAGGACAAAGAAATTTGGGAGGAAAATTTAATGTGAGGGTATTAAATACCCTAACAATCCCAGTATTTTCTTCATGCAGAGAGAAAGAGAAAGGGAGAGTGAGACAAAGAAAGAGAGAGTGAGAGGCGCTGAAAGAGAAATCAAGAGAGAGAAGCCTATTCTAGTGTTAGCATTTCGAAGGGTAATATAAGTTTTGGAAATCATTTAGATACATAAAATACTTCTTTTTATTAAATTTTTTATGAATATTTCCTATATATTTAGAACTTTATATTAGTCGCATCATTTTAGTGTTTAGAGAAAATTTTGTGATTTGAGTATGGAGTAAGTACTGAGTTATGACAATAGATGACCATAAAAATTTAGAGGTAAATGAGTAATTAATTCTAATCCGTTTAGATTTGTCCATTTATTACTTATGGTATTTAAAATCAAATTTATTTTGTTAAAAAATCTGTCATTTATGATATATATCATATTTGCACTGATTAAAATTAAGTTAAATAATTTAATTGGGTTGTTTGATATATTATTTAAATTTTAATTATATTATATTTATTCATTGGTTATTTTGAGAATTTTAAACTAAGATTTTAGTTGAAAAACATATTATTCAAGGCATATAAAATATTTTTACCGATTAAATGTAAGTTAAATAATTTATTTGGGTTATTTAATATATTATTGAGTTTTTAATTGGTTTAAAATGTGAAATAGGTTAAGGTTATATTATTAGAAAATCTTTTTGAAGTTGGAAACTTAAGTTACAAATTGAGATTTTTACAATGTTAGATAAAAACAATATTTTTATAATTTAAATGAGTTAGTTGGGGGGAAGAAAAATGTTATTTGAAGTAAGAATTTTTGGGAAGTAAAATATGTATATATTAATAATAATAAATCCTATGTAATTTAAGTTATTTATTTATATGTATATTAAATTGTATCTACATTAGTTGTAGATTATCTTGTACTTTGGAGTATGTAATTTGTACTCTTATTTCTCAAGCTGTGAGGTTAAGTTTGGATTAGAAGTAACCAGGGTTAATTTATTTTATATACATGCTTTGGATTGTAAGGTGTTTATTATATTTTTATTTTCTTAAATTAATTTGTGGAAGTATACTTGTGAATAAAGTATATATTTTCTTCTATGACAAATTTTGGTGAAGTAGGAAGTATGTTGATTTGATTATGCTTGAGTTGTATTTTATGGGAAATTATATTTTTGTGATGCTGAATTTGATATACTAATATTATGTTATTAAATAAAATGAAAATGTATTATACTTTGTTTGAAATTATATCATCTTATTTTGAAGAACTATGATATTTTTAAATTATATTGTGACTATGCACGGGGTTTATATGTAGAGGTTGGGATGTTGTTACGTGGAGGATAATTGTTGTAACAGCCCTCGTAATAAGTGGTAATTAAACATTTTCAGAAACAATAATTAATTCTTAAATAACCAATATAATCGGAAAGAGTTAACAAAAAACATTTAAGTAGAAACTATGGTAGAAAGAATAAATCATACAATGAAAAGAAATTACCATAGTTATAAAAGACTCCCATAATTACTTTGAAAGGTCAACCATGGTAAAAAGAAAAAAATTAATCAAATAGAAATCTACCATAACCATTAACAATTTACATCCATAACAGTGCAGTAACCACTATTCTAGAGTAGAAAAGATAATTAATGTAATAAGAAGTAATCAATACTTGATTTTTATCTGTATAATAACTCCATCATGAATATCTATAATCCCAAAAATATAACTAAAACCAATCATGAATGGGTTATAGCATTTGAAGTCCACCAAAATAACTACTACCACTGCTCATATCAATCGCAATCAAAATAACAGTCACCTATAACAAAAAAGGGCTCCGCCCAATAGCTCAAGTCTAGAATGCAGCGGAAAAATTAAGCATGTGTTAAGTTTAACAAAAAGGCCCTAAAATTTGGCAATATACATTAAACAAATCATGTATACCAAAATAGAGGCTACACAGAGTTGGAAGAGCAACTCAAGCCTTAGACAATTTCCCCTTGGGACTAACACCTGAACCCTCATCTGAAAAATATTAAATAACCACGGGGTGAGTCAAATTGATCCAGTAACCATAATTCCAATTCAACAAGTATACAGGGGGTGATTACAAGATAGTTAAATGGGCAAAGTACAATTTCAAATAACATATAAGGTAAATATCTTTACAGAAGACAATATATAATAATTTCAAAAGATAACTTACATGCACAGAACTTCATCAACCATCCTTATAACCTCCTTGTAACATCTGACAGAACCCATGGGCTAATAATACATAACAGGATTTGTCTCTTTAACAAGACTGCACCAAGCTCTCCAGTAATGAGGTATAACTCGGCCAAAAGTTACAGAGCTCATATCCGACCATGGGTTCTTTTTCCTTGGAATACGGAAAGGTGTCATGTTTCTTGAACTGACCCTTGACTCGGCCAAAGGAAGGATGATATCAAGGGTCCTAAGAATGTTAAAGCCAAACACTGGGCGCCAAGTGGCGGCTATACTACAGGTATAAATAATCAAGCCTCCCACAATCACATTTCAGCACAACCCAACCATCCAATTTCACACAATTTAATATTTATAAAGTATTCTCATATTCAATAATCAAATTTGTTCAACATCAACAAGATATTCATAAGATGAAATAATTCATGCCCACTTAACTAATAAACTTATCAAAACATAAATTTTCAAATATACATGTGTGTGTATACATCACTTTTTATACATAAACCAGTATAACATATAATGATAACATTTATAATATCAACACATGCTTATAATCACATCAACAAGCATA